GTTACCGAAAAAAAAGCAACCAAAGAAGAAGCAAAGTATGCGATGCTATTGGTTGTTACGCGCACGTGACCACGAGGTGGCCACTTCATTGGCTGATTGCGCTCGCATCGTCTGCTTGGCGCGTCAACAACGCGCGAACACCTGTTGTCGCGCCGACATATTTCCTGTGCCTGCGCTTCGACTAGCGTGCTCGCGATCGAAGTTGTTGCAATGCCTGGATCGGCACGAAAGTTTCATACACGGCATAAGTTCGGCAAAAAAAGAAAAAAGTCTCAGGCGAACAACTTCAAGGCGCGTCTCTTGGCGAGGAGCGTCAACGAACAACGAGATGGGTCGCCCGCCGATGCCGCCGACGCAAGCCTGACGGCCTCGCCAGCCTGCGATGCTCCCAAACGTGACGCATCGCCGGCACATCCATCACCCGAACGCGCAGACGAACTTTGCGAACATCGAGACTGCGCGACCTCCATCTCCGCCGACAGCGAAGGAATCGCCGAGGCGCCCGAGAGAGTCGACGGGGAGTTAGGCCTAGCGGGCCCGCCGGTCACCGACGCTTCGCTAAGCAGCGGCCGCGTCCGCCGTGATACAACCTTACTAACGCAATCGGAGCTGCAGGTAAGGCGCACAAAGGCCGATGCAAGGCTGCAGGAACTGGCATCGACCGCCGCGTCGAAGAGAAAACTTGAGTTTTTGAGGAACGACGCACCGGCCGGCGCCGCTCCCGCGGAGCCAAACGAAGAGGCAAGTTTTTTGATCGCCGATCTTGGCTGCTTCGGTAAACTGTTAGATGCCATGAAATGTAAAATCTGCAACGGAAGCGTCAGCATCTACAGACAGGACAGACAATACGGCCTTGCCGTGAAAATGTGTGCGCGTTGCGTGAACTGCGGCGACATCGCGCAAGCATGGAGCTCTCCGCGAGTGGATGAAGCACAGAAAGTAAACTCGTTCGCCGTCAACATTCTCGCCGCTCGATCCATGCAGGCCACTGGGAACCGTCAAGCAGCTATGAATGATATATTTTCGACAATGAACATATCCCATCGCGGACTTCACAATAAAACGTGGCAAGGATATGTGAAGCGGAAATTGACTCCTGCAGCTAATCGCGCGGCCGAAAAAGTCATGGGCGAGTGCGCGAGTGCAGTTCGTGAGCTTTACAAGGAGCTGCATATTGACAATGCCGACAGTATTGCAGTCTCGTACGACGGCTCCTGGATGACGCGCGGGCACTCGTCCCACATAGGCGTGGGGGCAGTGATCGAGCTCTTCACTGGTCTAGTGCTCGACTATGTCGTTCTGAGCAACTTCTGTGCCGGATGCAAGCGCGGACCGAAGGCAGACGACCCGGCATATCAGGCTTGGCAGGACAGCCACGTGTGCCAAAAAAATACTACAAAAAAAGCTGGCGAAATGGAAGTTGAGGCAGCTGTGCACCTCTTTGAGAGGTCCATAAAAAAAATGGCCTCAAATACACTACAATCCTGTCAGATGGTGACAGCCGCACCTTCCTCGCTTTGCAAGAAGCAGATGTCTATGGCTTCATCAAAGTCCAAAAAGAGGACTGTGTCAATCACGTCCAAAAGCGTATGGGCACTGCCCTACGCAATTTAGTAGCAAGGCACAAAGGAGGTGCCTCTGAAACCCTTGGAGGAAGGGGAAGGCTCACCGGGGACCTCATCACGAAGTTGAGCTCCTATTACGGCTGGGCGCTCAAATCTCACAAAGGAGATGTTGAGGACATGCACAGAGCTGTGATGGCGACTTACTATCACATCACTTCTAATGATAGTGAGTCAAACCACAGCCTGTGTCCCACAGGCCCAGACTCTTGGTGCCGGCAAAATGCAGCTGCTGCCAAAGGGGAGCCCACTCCGAGGCACCATTACAATTTGCCACAACATGTGTGCAAGGCTCTTCTTCCAGTTTATGAGCGCCTGTCAGAAAAAGGGCTTCTAGAAAGGTGTCAAAGGGGTAAAACCCAGAATAGTAATGAAAGCCTTCATTCCGTGATCTGGGCTTTGGCACCTAAGCAGCGCCATGCTTCACTGTTTGCGGTTGAAGCTGCAGTTGCCGAGGCAGTGATGAAATTCAACTGTGGCAACTTGAGAACATCAACAGGAATCCTCGATGAGCTCAATCTCAACGCCACCCTCCCAAGCATCAGACGGATGACAGAGAAGGACAGGCGTCGAGTGGCCGACTCAAACCGCAAGCGTGCCTCTAGTGAGAAGGTCCAGCAAGCACTAAAGAAGCGCCACCGCAGTGCTAAGCACCAGTCTGACTATGTTCCTGGTGGCTATTAAGATCTGCATTGTGAAATATGCACCTTCTTATTGTTGTTTTTGAATAAAGTGTGTGTTATTTGTTTTTGCCATTTTTCTCAAAATGTGAATTTATGACTCCGTTCAATCTTAAGGCCTCGATATCTCGGCAGCTAGGGCTGGTAGAGCAATAATTCTTCTTGCAATGGAAACCTGTATGTGTATAGAATCCAAGTATGGGAATGGAATTTAGAGTACAAGCCTTTTTAATTAATTACTCATCAAAACTGTAATATTATGCCAACTGCTTTTTCAGAGTGGAAAGTGCAATTTGCCATAACATAACTAAAAAGGCCAAATAAAAAAAACTACTTGCATAATTTCAATCTTAGATCATTAGTCTATCTTGCCATATCTTGAATTTTGCTTTTAATTAGGCACTTTTTTTTCTATTGAGGCCTTAAACAATGGGGGTTGAACTTGCATTATCTTGGGAATGAGATGAGTTACAGGAAAAGTAATTGCATATTTGAAATCAGCAGAAAAAACTGCACAAGGCTGCGCATTTTCATCAAGATCACTGAAGAAATAAACAAAAAATGTCTAAGACCAGTCTGCCCCCTTAAATGCTCATTCAGGCACCTGCCCGTTTGTCTGACGTACATTTTGCCGCATGACAATGGGATAAAGTAAACGACGGCAATCACACATGCTAAGAATAGCCTCCTATGTTTGATCGTGCAGCAGCTCCTTTGTGAGGACTGCACATGCAGAGCACTGGAAGCTTTTCTGGAGCAGAGAAAACAACCTTCACATCAGCCTTATCACCTCTCTTTTCGGACGAGACCAGCGAAGAGCTGCTGCTCAACTCCTCGCACTAGGTGACGCAGCTTATCATCTTTTGCCATACCTGGGTTGGCGCGACGGAAAAGGCTTGTCCTGTCCTCCACGTACGTCATCACACTTTCGTCCGGCATTTGAATGCGTGACTGAATGGCTTGCTCCGCTCGTTCACGGCGATGGGGGTCGGCGTAACTTGCCAGCAGCTGACGGCAAAACACCGTCCATGACAAGAAGGGTTCACGGTTTTCGTACCAAGGACGAGCTCCATCCTGAAGGCTGAAGTATACATTCCGCAGCTTTTTGGTGTCGGTCCCCTCGTTGAAAGCAGCAACGCGTTCAAAGTGAGCCAACCAGTCCACGACATCCTCCAACATGGAGCCGCGGAACACCTTCGGCACTCGTAGCCTCTGCAGTGTGTAATTAGCCATAGAAGTATTTTCCGTACCGCTCTAGGGTGATGCAGTTGACTTCATCTCCTGCAGAGGTTCACATTCGGGGGACAATCCTCGGATTCTCCGACTGGCCCTGCGGACAGGTGTTGTGACAGGGCTACCAGGAGGCGTTTGGATCATTGGCTGGGAACACACAGCAACTCCACCAGTTGTTGTGTGTGAAAAAGAGGGACTTCTGGTAAGGAATACTGCGTAGACGCAGAGACGCAGGTCAGTCACGCGACACAACCAAAAAGCCTCGGCGAGAGCACACGCTGTCCTAAAAACAATTTCCTTGTTCGTTTCTGCAGAATGCGAGCTCACGCTCGCCGCAGTTCATGGCCAGGTGGCACCATCATTCCGAGCACATCCGAGGGAGGGCCTCCCCACATAGAGATGTGCTCTACACAAAAAAAAGTGCTACCAGTGGCGACACACGACGTATACCCCTTCGTACCAGCATGCGCTGCCCATGGAAGACGCTTCTCATCAATGCCGTCACTAGGCACGAGCCTTATTGTGATCATCTCCTGTGGCCATGTTTACTACAATTAATATTGCTCCTAAAAATGCTAGCCTTGCTTCGTGAAACATTTGAATGTGTTGATATCGCATTCATTGCTTCACCCTTTTGGCAAAACTGACTTTTAACACACCTAAATCTAACCACACGGCTGCATTTTGCCTTCACTGAAATCACGTTGCACACTGCTTTGACACCTACCCCGCAGTCTTTGTTACATGTGAACATGTATATGCACTACACATGGCGAGCAGCACAGCATTTTCTTATTAAAGTAATGTGATCATGTGATGCATTAGTTTTCATTCTGTCCTTCCAAGGCAACCTCTTGCAGCCCTATTGCCATATATATTTTTGCCTTCAGTAACAAGTTTATTTTAGCTTGTGTCTTATCAGCAAGCACAGTGATGCAAGATTTTGGGCAAAATATCATGATACCAATCCAACAATATCAACATTTAAATGTTCGCACATTGAACTACAAAGAATGGTCCAAGATCAAAGCTGTCACCTCATCTCACGTAAAACAATGTAAACAAGACCAGAAAAATGTGCTATAAGATGCAACAGAATGAATGAATGCTGCTCACTCCATGTTATAGACCTTTCCACTGAAGACTCCCTGGACGCTACCATAGTCCTCTCCAGGCTGTTGTTAACATGCGTGACCCCTTGCGCATGACGGGGCAGGAGGGGTGGCCAACCCCGTAGTCACCTAAGAAGTTGGGTGCAAAATCTGCCCCATACATTTACTCAATAGAAAAGGGATGGGGGGAGCAATGTTTGTTCTATACATTGATGTATAGAAGGGAGGGGGCACTGCAAAGAACCTTTGCCCCCCCCCCCCCCAAGGAGAATCCTGCGCACGCCAATGATGACGAGGCTGTGACGTCAGCTTTTGTGCTCCCGTGCAACAACCCAGAAAGAAAGCGATTCTCCTTTCCGTGAAAAAAGGTCTATACCACAGTTTCTTGATAGTAATCATCCAGCACTCAAATATATGTACCCTTCCGCAGTACACAAGATAAAAGCGCTCCTCAGGAACCTGTACAGGAGGCCACAATCAAAGGTCCTTGTACTTGCAGGCCTGTTTTTGGTGGCGCCTCAGATTGTCCACTCTGTAAAAGGCAGAGCCACAGTCTCCGCACTCAAACTGTCGGTCGCCACTGTGAATGAGAGCATGCCGTTTGAGGTCTTTAGATGATGCAAACGCCTTGGTACAAATGTCGCAGATGTGACCCTTTGGGATGTCACCGTGGCAGGTGCGCCAGTGAGACTTGAGGCTTTTTCCCGTCTTAAAGACCTTTGGACAGTCACTGGAAAAGCACCAGAAGGTCACGTTAGGCATTTTCACGGGGATAAGAGAAGTGCACCCCCTTTGCCAACTTTTCGAAGTGGACACTAACATAAGAACACTGGCGCACGTAAAGAAATAAAAAACACCAGGCCTGCGCAGAACATGCAGCACAATCAGTGAGAAAGCCGGAATAGCAGCCCTTCAAGGCCTTTTTTTGAGCACTCTATGGGTAACTGCTACAAGCACACTTGCAGGGTACCCACTATGCCATTGATAATCATTTTTGTGTAGTAGGGAGGCATTCATTATGCTACCCTTTGTCATTCTTTGGAGAAGCATAGTACACGCTACACACCTGCAAAGATGCCTGTGCAATTTTTTAATGCTGTGGCTCACAAGGATGAAGAATTATGCCTGAAACTTTTGCAATGAGTTGGAGCATTCAACAACCTACTCGTTATGCAGTTTGCATTGTGTGATGCCTGGTTGTTCCTTTGCTGTTCTAAATGCTTTATTACTCATATTTACATGATTCCTTTCCTGACATCAAGCCACCCAGCTTGCAGTAGAGTTCCAAGCACCGGCGCAGCTCAGTGGTAGAATATTGGGCTGGCATACAGGGTTCGAATCCGATTGTGTCCTTGGTGTATTTCATTTACATAGCTTTTTCCTTATTTTGCATGATAGTAATTATGAACACCGGCGACGACAACGGACAACTACAGCGCACGTGACCCTTGATGTGACTAGATAACAGCGTTCACTGCAAAACACTTGAGTGCAAACTATCAACTGGAGTCTATTTGAAGACACACAAATGCCTATACAGTAAAATTTTGTTATTTAGAACATGAAGGGGACTATCAAATCATTCTAATTAAGCGCGGTTCGAATTAAAGGGTGGGCACTAGAATGAATGAACATCCCTACCCACAGTGCTAGCAGCAATCGCAGCCACCTTGGGATTCATTACAGTAAATTGGCGGCTGCTACACATTTTTTTGCAGGTGATTTTGTAAATTAGGTTCATGGAGCTCAAACAACAAACACGATTAAGTGATCAGCCAGTGATATGCCAGAAACAAGCCGTGAAATGCATTCATGTGAGCAGAGAGCCTCAACATCAAAATATATGATGCTATAATAAAGTTCTTAATATCATACTACACCTGTGCACCAGCACACTCACAGCACACATGCTGCTGTTTGTGCTAGTCTGTTGAAAGTGTTCCTTCTAGAGCTCGTCTTTTTTTTTGTGCAGCGTTTTTTTATTTAGTATGCTGCACCAACTCACCCACATCAAGCTCACTCTGCAACACATAAGATGTTTTCTTTCTGCACAGCAGTCATAATTATGCAATAGATTTCTAAAATGTATCCCCTGCTTCTGCACCCCTCCAAGATGTGTGGTGGATTCTCTGCAATGTGATCCCCAATGCGATGCTTTCACGCTTTGCATTATGAATCGGGCCAGCACTGAGCACATACTACAACACTATACCTGCCAAGTTCAAGAATTCTGAATCCGGAAGATTTCCGCAACAGGGAGGTTCGCATTAAATTATTTGCCCCCATTTTTTTCGGCACCAAAAGAAAACAAAAAAAACATCGCGAAAAACAAGAGGGAGTGGGGGGGGTCTCAATTAGCATTGCGGTGTTGTAATGGCCGAACACACGAGAGCAGGGTTTCCACAGAAGGTAAGAGCCTCAAAGGATCAAAACAACTAGCAAAATCTATTCCCGTCAAAGCAACTCGCGTATGTCTTCCTGGGACACACGTGAATGGACGGGACAGCGCAGCTGGCTGCCGCAAAACGGCGGGTCAGAGCTTTGTTCACTACTTGATTCTTTGGACCAGAATGCCAAAACGCTTCCATAGACTATTTCGCGTCTTTACTGCCTTTAATCTACTGCTGCGTTAGCCTCATGCCCTCGGAGCACGTAGATCGCTATTACGCCGCCGCGACCGCAGTTTTGTACGCGGCAGTTGCGACAAATGATAGTTTGTTTTTTTCAATCCCTGTGTAATGGCCATGCACATGCCTTCTAAACCAAGTCATTTTGTGCCATCTACGATCGCATCTGCTACGGTTTTGTCTGCAAGGCCAATTGATGGCCAAGGAGCGCCATTTCAATAGGCTCTATTATGGTCTTGTGCGACCCTAAACATGAGTCAAAAACGCACAAAAATATCCTCCAGCCAATTTTACAACTCCAGGGCTGAAAGGGTTATCCCATTTTCACTTGATTATTTTGTTTCCCATAAAACATGTGCTTCAGGTTATAATAGGAACATTTTCTTGAGGGGCTCGTTCCTTAGACACAACATCAAACAGACAAGTAGGCCAGTGAAACAATAGAGGATATTGACTGCTGCCTTTTAACTGAAGATTGTGACAAAAATTGACATGAATTAAAGTGGACAAAAATTAACCTTTATCGCAGATGGGATCCCAACCCACAGCCTTTGAACTATGTGTCTGATGCTATATCAATTTAGCTAAGATGAAAGGCACTGCCCCGTCCATCTACGAAATTCCTGATGTTCAACTTAATGGGCTCAAAAAGTTTTGGTTCGAACAGCATTAGATTGTTCATTAGATTGTTCTCACTGCCACATGTCACCTATGCAAGAGTTGCTGAAGGCACCACAGATATTCCCACATGCCCTTGAAATTCAGTCCTCGCATGAAACCTGAGCACACAGGATTTGCACATATGTCCATTTTTTCCCCTTTATTGCAGAATGGTTCTCTCCAGGCCATTCATTTGGTACTCGTTAGATATCACAACGGCCTTTCAACAAGCGACACTCTGTTTGACTGATTGATTGATATGTGAAGCTTGACGTCCCAAAACCACGATATGATTATGAGAGACGCCATAGTGGAGGGCTCCGGAAATTTCGACCACCTGGGGTTCTTTAACATGCACCCAAGTCTGAGCACACGGGCCTACAGCATTTCCGCTTCCATGGGAAACACAGCCACCGCAGCTGAGATTCGATCCCGCGACCTGCAGGTCAGCAGCCGAGTACTTTAGCCACTAGACCACCGCAGCGGGGCAACAAGCAACACTCCAACACATGCACTATACATGAGCAACACCTCATAAGCAAGTTTGTGCATGATGGCTAGCATGGAACGCTTTTTTTTCTGCCATGCTACTAGCAGTACTAACAATTCCATGCTTACATGCATGCCAGAAAGTGGACGGGGAATGACTGTTGCTGAAGCTCTAGTTAGTAGACCATTGGACGAGCTTTTCGAAAGTAGCAGGTTCGGTCCTTGCCATTGTTTTAATCTATTCCTGCTGCTTTTTCCTATCGCTGTGAGTATTTGCCAGTCACTTCGTACTCGTACCTTTCTTGTTTATTCTTTTATTGTATTATGTATCATCCCTACTACCTTTAGGCCCTGAGAGTATAATAATATTGTCACTCTGAACAAGGTGAGCCCACCTACCTGCACGTGAATGACTGTGGGCCAGGTACATGTGCCAGCTTGAAGTGCGCATCGAGGTACCGTTTCACAACAAAGGTCTGACCACAGGCAGCGCACTGGAAGTTCTTCTCGATACGGTGCACCGCTTCGGAGTGCTCCTTCAGGGCATACTTGCGTTTGAAAGATATGCCTGTGTGGAATGAGGGAAAAGAAGCACACACATCACGCACCTCTACTTAATTACGCAGTTAAAGCTCTTCAAAGGAGTACTGACATGATTTATGGGCACCCCAAAAAGGAATATTTTCATTTCCGTGACAACACTCTTCACATGCCAGACAACACGTGTAAAATATTTTAGTACAATTTCAAAGTTTTTGCCACCGAGTATCTGCAAGCCAGTTCTACCACTATCACGGCAACACAACAGAGTTCACTGGGTTTGCAAAATCTGCATCCTGAATGCAGCAGTCACAATCTCTGGACGACTATTCACTCATTACGTGAACCATGCTCGACTGACAGCTTGTGTGCTGCGAGTTGCAGTGTTTTTGTGACGTCAGCCACCCCCTCAATGCAGAAACCGAAATTGTTGTTTTAAGGTAGCAGTATTAAAAATACATTCAGTGTATTCTCAAGCCCTAAGACATTCTCCTTAAGTTTCTCTACACCCGTGTTTTTATTCAGAGCAACGCGAAAATGTTTAATATTCATGCTCTAAGATCCATTGACAAGACTATAGTACTTGTCAAGAACAAAAATTTGTTACATAGTGAACCTCGTACTCATTTTATTGCATGCAGTTATAACTGATGGCACTAGATGGATACACATACCCATATCATGCCATTTGTCTCTCTCCTTTCACTAAATGGCCATCTGTAAAAATCTCGCATATGACATGGCTGCAACCTCGCCACAAGAAAATGAAAGCCCACACAAAATCTCTTTCATTAGGATTGTGCAAATATTAAACCTAAAGCTTGAAGCAAATTTGAAGTGAATAGTGATTTGGTCTAATTATTCCTAATTGATCGATGATTTATTTGTGGGGTTTAATGTCCCAAAACCACTATATGATTATGAGAGACGCCGTAGTGGAGGGCTCCAGAAATTTCGACCACCTGGGGTTCTTTAACGTGCACCCAAATCTGAGTACACGGGCCTACAACATTTCCGCCGCCATCGGAAATGCAGCTGCCACAGCCGGGATTCGATCCCACAACCTGCAGGTGAGCAGCCGAGTACCTTAGCCACTAGACCACCGTGGCGGGGCAATAATTCCTAATTGAATTTGAATAGTATATATCACATATTTTAAAAATGCGCCTACTATTTGTCATGAACAAACTAACCTACACAATATATTGTCACAGTACAACGCAAACAAAGCACAAGTACGCCTTGAGGCAGCGAAAGCAGCGTATTCTCAACAGCTGAGCCACAAGATCTTCTTCGTTCTCGCGTCAAGCCAGAGGCCCACTACCTGGTGTCCGCTAAATCCCCCCATCATCGTTTTTGTCCACATGTAGACACGGGTCATTTGCCTCTCTCTCAAAGAGCATCGACCCAATGCGAAGTCAATAATGCAGTTTTTGTTAAAAGATAAGTCTCACGCAATCACTCGCTGACGTAAGGCTTCATGCGCACTACGTGAACAAGTTCAGGATGGTGCTGGCGACGCTTGGTACTACACGAATTGTCGGGAACAACTTCGTAAGTGACGTCACTCAGTTGTCGCAGCACTCGGTATGGCCCAAAGTATCTTCTTAAGAGCTTTTCTGATAGTCCTCGTTTCCGTACGGGTGTCCAAATCCATACTTTGTCGCCAGTTTGATAGACAACTGCTCTGCGGTGAGCATTGTAGCGGCCTGCATCGTACTCTTGCTGCTGGCGGATCCGTAAACGTGCCAGTTGTCTAGCTTCTTCCGCGCGTTCCGTAAACATGTTGGCGTCTGGGTCGATGTCGTCACTTTCGTGCAGCAGCATCGCATCTAACATAGTTCATACTTCTTGTCCATGAACGTGGCTGAACGGGGTCATGCGGGTCGTTTCTTGCTTGGCCGTGTTGTACGCAAACGTTATGTATGGCAAGATTTCATCCCAATTTTTGTGTTCAATGTCTACGTACATCGAAAGCATGTCTTCAATGGTTTTGTTCAGACGCTCCGTCAGCCCGTTAGTTTGTGGGTGGTAGGCAGTGGTCTTACGATGCGTTGTTCCACTCAGCATCAGGACGTGATCCAAAAGAGCTGCCGTAAATGCGGTTCCTCTGTCTGTGATCACGACGATTGGTGCACCATGCCTCAGTACAATATTTTCGATGAAAAATCTTGCCACCTCCGCTGCTGTACCTCTCTGGATAGCTTTTGTCTCGGCATAACGGGTCAGATAATCTGTCGCGACGATAACCCAGCGGTTTCCTGAAGTGGAAATAGGAAGTGGGCCCAAAATGTCCATGCCTATCTGGTAGAATGGAGCTGTTGGGACCTGCACGGGTTGCAGGAGGCCAGCTGGTTTAGTCGGTGGTGACTTGCGTCGCTGGCAGTCGAGACAGGTACGAACGTGGTGCTTCACGGCTGTGGTTAGTCTCGGCCAGTAATACCTTTGCTGTACTCTGGCCAACGTTCCCATGTAACCCAAATGGCCAGAGGTCACCTCGTTGTGGCATGCTTTGAGTATTTCGGTACGAAGGGCTGCTGGTATGACGAGCAGATAGGCGGATCCTGTCGACGAAAAGTTTCTTTTGTAAAGTACTCCGCCCCGTAAACAAAACTATGACAATACTCTTGCGAAAACTCTTGGTGCCTTCTGAGATCTGCCTTCCAAGTAGTTAATTAAGCCAAGCAACTCAGTGTCGTCACGTTGTTGCTGCGCAATGGCGGTCGTGTCGAGGACACCGAGAAATGCCATTTCCTCCTCCTCGGGTAGGGTTGCGGACTCAATGGGTGAACGGGACAGACAGTCAGCGTCCATATGTCGCTTGCCTGACTTTTGCACGACCGCCATGCCAAACTCTTGCAGTTTTAGGCTCCAACGTGCTAATCGGCCGGTGGGATCTTTTAGATTAGTTAACCAGCAAAGGGAGTGATGGTCACTAATAACTTTGAAGTGCCGGCCATACAAGTACGGGCGAAATTTCATTACTGCCCATACTACGGCGAGGCATTCTTTCTCTGTTGTTGAATAGTTAGCCTCTGCGCGTGTTAGCGTTCGGCTTCCGTAGGCGATCACTCTTTCTGTGTCCTCTTGCCGTTGCACAAGCACAGCCCCAAGACCTACATTGCTAGCGTCTGTGTGAAGCATCGTCGGGGCTTCTTCGTCGAAGTGGGCGAGCACAGGGGGCGTTTGGAGACGTTGACGCAGGTCATTAAAGGCAGCCTCCTATTCTTCTTTCCACTCAAAGGCAACATCATCTCTTGTGAGACGAGTTAGTGGCGACGCGATGCGGGCGAAGTCTGCGATAAACCGGCGATAATAGGCACAAAGGCCTAGGAAGCGTCTGACAGCCTTCTTATTGGAGGGTACTGGGAACTGTGCGACGGCGGCAATTTTTCCAGGATCGGGCCGGACGCCTGCGTTGCTGACGTGACCGAGAAACTGAAGTTCGTGAAAACAGAAATGGCACTTTTCTGGTTTCAATGTTAGGCTTGCGAACCGTATGGCACGTAAAACAACTTCCAGCCTTTTGAGATGCTCGTCAAAAGTGGTCGAAAACACTATAACGTCGTCCAGATAGACTAGGCACGTCTTCCACTTCAATCCCGAAAGTACCGTGTCCATAAGCCTTTGAAAAGTTGCGGGCGCGGAGCACAAACCGAAAGGCAAGACTTTAAATTCGTATAAACCATCTGGGGTCACAAAAGCGGTTTTCTCTCGGTCTCTTGGGTCTACCTCGATCTGCCAGTATCCACTCCTCAAGTCCATGGAAGAAAAGTAGCGAGCGTGCCGAAGTCTGTCAAGGGAGTCATCAATACGTGGGAGCGGGTACACATCTTTTTTGGTCACCCGATCCAGCTTCCTGTAGTCCACGCAAAAACGCAGGGTGCTGTCCTTTTTCTTTACTAGCACTACAGGCGATGCCCAGGGGCTCTGTGACGGTTGAATGACGTCATCTGCAAGCATTTTCGCGACTTGTTGTTGTATGGCTTCGCGTTCCTTTGAAGCTACACGATAAGGGTTCTGGTGGATAGGTCTCACCGTGTCCTCGGTGATTATTCGGTGCTTTGTCAAAGGTGTTCGACCAACTCGTGATGTCGTTGAAAAGCAGTCGCGGAATTCGGCTAGCAGCTGAAGAAGTCTCTGTCGCTCATCCTTTGACAGAGTGGTGCCAACATCGAGAATGGGTTCTGGTTCTTGATTAGGCTCTTCGTCCAATACCGACAAACATAAACTGCCTCGCATTTCTACAATATTGTCGTACGAAGCGATAGCTGTGCCCTTCGGAAGGTGCCGGCGCTCAGCACTAAAGTTCGTCAGAAGTAAATTCGTGCGTCCACCAGTGAGACGGACGATACCTCGTGCGACCAAAATGCCATGACTAAATAGCAGTGAGCCAATTTGGTCAGCAATGCCTTCGCCATCAAACGCTTCGTCGCCTTCTACTGAAACAAGAGTGCATGACCGGGGCGGGACGACCACATCATCATCAATAATACGTAAAGTGTTGCATATTGCGTCTGAACAGTCAACTAAACCAGGGCTGTTGCGGAATGTAATTGAACGGTCCAGGATGTTGATGACGGCACCATATTCTCTTAAGATGTCCATCCCTATGATCAAGTCCTTGCAACACGAGGTGAGGATGACGAACGTCGCCACGAAAGAAGAGCCACCGATGTCGAGTCTTGCTGTACACCTTCCGACAGGCATCAACAGCTGGCCGCCTGCGGTCCTCAGGTGAGGTCCCGTCCACGTAGTCATCACTTTTTTTGAGGCGTACGGCAAGGTTTTCACTTATGATAGAAAAGTCGGCGCCGGTGTCAACTAAGGCTGTTACTTGCTGTCCGTCTACCGAAACGGTAAGATCTGTGGTCACAGTTTCGTCGGTGTTACAACTTCTCGGCTTTACGGCGTCCTATGGTACAAGTAACGGGGGCTTTTTTTCGTCGCCTTGACGGCCTGCATGCAACCTCACCCCCGGACCGTTCGATAGCCGTAGCTTCTTTGATGAAGTCTGTCACGGTGCTTGGCGGGTTCCGCAAAAGTCTGGCGAACAATTGCTCTTTAACACCGCGCATGAGGTAGCGCAACTTTTTGTCGTCGGTCATGTGCGGGTCAGCTTTACGGAAGAGACGGGCCATGTCCTCAGGGAACATTGCGACCGTTTCATTGGGTTTCTGAACCCGTAGCTCGAGTAAATTCTGCGCACGTTCGCGCCGGTCGACATCGGCAAATGTGTCAATCATCCCTCTTTTAAAGTCACTCCATGATGACAAACTGCCTTCTCTGTTCTCGTAGCAAGTTCTAGCGCTGTCGTCGAGATAAAAATAGGCGCGGGAAAGCCTTTGTTCAAGGGACCACTGGTTGGTGTTAGCGACATGTTCATAGTGATCAAGCCATTCTTCGACGTCTTCATGTGCTCCACCACCAAAGCGATCAGGCACGAGCGGTGAAAAAAAGGTTACCTGAGATGGGGTTGGCAAACTACTGTCTCGTAGTAACTGTTGTGGATTGGCGGTGGCCATTGGTAGATTTGAGCGGTGCTTTGTAGAGTGTTCCTGTGAGAGAGTGAACTCTGGAAGGAGGCCTCGCAAGCGACGACTGAAGCGATGCACGGGAGTGTGGACAAGTGCTTCTGGGCTGGATGAACGGCTCCCCGTGGGAGTGTGGAGCATCAGGCGGGGTCGCGGGCCAGCACCTCCACCAGTGTCACAGTACAACGCGAACAAAGCACAAGTACGCCTTGAGGCAGCGAAAGCAGCGTGTTCTCAACAGCTGAGCCACAAGATTTTCGTTCTCGCGTCAAGCCAGAGGCCCACTACCTGGTGTCCGCTAAATCCCCCCCATCATCGTTTTTGTCCACATGTAAACACGGGTCAATATGTGTGCGTGTGTGTGTGCGCGCGCGCGCGTGCACGTGCGTGTGAGTGTTTTTTTTAGCTTGAAACAAGGCATGTGCAAATGTAATTCTTTTTGGTCAAAAATAATTGGAATCAACCTTGAATAACAGCAGGATTTGACTTTTAGAATGATAGCAGTAAAAACCTGTCAAGTACAGTACAGTTGAAAATTTTCTATTCTTACAGCATATAGGCTGGTATAACAAGCATTTAAACTAAAAAAATTATGACTTGATAAGAGCGTTTAACCTTGCAGTGTGGCTTCCCGGCATTTCAGACTCTCCCTAAAAATTTGCACTCATGGTACAGCACTCCACCACAGCAGTGAAACAAGTGGACTAATATAGACCTATTTTTTCATTTCGAATTCTTTTAATTTTCCAATACTAACATTCGACTTGTGAATTCCAGTACTGTAATAATGGTCCGAATAGTTGCACAAATCTGGATAATACATATAGCCGTGTTTTGATCAGCAAAAGTGCACATACCGCAGATTTTGCAGGGGAACAGCCTACGGTCGCTATGCTTGATCATGTGAGCCTTGAGAGAGCACTGGCTGGGACACATCTGGTCACACTTTATGCACTTAAACACCTTCACATCGGTGTCCATTGCTTGGTGAAGCTTAACATGCATCTTCAAACTTGACTTCCATCTGCACACAGTATATGCAAGCAAATGTAGGATGAGCCAGTAATGTTTCTGCCCAAGGACTGGACAGTTGAACTGATAAACTATAAGATTGAATGCCTTTTTAAAGGGGTACTGAAACCTTTTTTCGGAGGAGAGTTTACTCGGCCATACAAATGTCATGTATACAGAGATGGCTCTGAGCAAGTGTGACGCACAGCAAATGATGATATTTTATTTTGACATCAAAGTCAATTTTCTCCCGGTAACCTACATCGACACTAACTTGACATCAGGCTACAGTACTAGTCCTGGTGACTTGACGCAGCAGTCTGGCTAGTTAGTTTCAATAAATCATTGAAAGAATTGCATTATTTGGATGTCGTATGAGTTGCAGTAGATCACAATTTTCTGGTTCTAGCACGTGGTTGTGACGCGTAATGTTTGGGTATAAGTATTGCTGTTTCTCGGATTAAACCACATTGTTGAAAGTTAACGCCGTGTATGTGTTCTGTGTCTTCTTCTCTGTCCCGTCCTGGATGCACTATACCTCGAACAGTATCTGGAGACCTTGTACATAGGTGCTTGGCAAGCACCTTGCCGAATGTGTATGTACATATGTATGTGTCTGGAGACTGTGCATGCACACTGAGCAGGAATGTACATGGCTGTCCCATCTCGCTCACCCCTAGAAATGTTCCCATATCAAGAGATCCCACCTAAAGCGTCGATCACAGATGTCGCAGGAGAACGACTGCTCGCCACCCATCTTGCTGCCGTGCTTGTGCGTCATGTGCTGGCGCAGACAGTCAGCGCTGCTGTACTCCTTCTGGCACAGGGAGCAACAGTGCCGGTCGTCCCTGTCTCGGTGCGTGGTGCAATTGTGAACTTCCAGGGCAATCGCTGTTTGGTAGAAGGTGCCACAAACCTAACACAAAGTAAAGCAGCAGAAATTATATATAAGAGATGACATTAGCAATAATTGTAATGTAAATTTAAAGAAAGAAAAGTGAACAAAAAGACAACTTGACGCTGGCAGGAACCAAACCTGCGGCCTTTGTATACCACGTGTGGTGTGCTGCTGATTGAGCTACAGGGGTGGTCATCCTCCCATGTACTTTAGGGAGTATATACGTGCATTTAAATTAAACTATGTTAGTCAGCACCCCTACAGGGTGTCTACCAATTTGATTTTTCCAAGTTTTCTGACTTCCAGATTTTCCAAGACAATTAAAAGCAAAGTCCATGACCGTCACGTCTGCTTGGAAAACTCTGTGCACTGGAAACAAACACTCTAGTTGCAAAAAAAAAAAAAATATCATGAGCTCATATAAAATAAGTAAACATATTTACTGCAACCGCTCAGAATGTTCCGAGCACATGTGGTAAATGTAAAGAAATATGTATATCTGGCTAAAATAAAACCTCTGAGCCGGGCAATGAGCAACTCGGCTGTTTGATGTTTAAAAGAACCAGGAAACAAACACACAAGTAAAAAATTAACAGCAGATGAATGTATGAAGGAGCCTGCGATAGTCCGACAACACAGTCAATGTTGCTAGGAAATGCAACAGTAGTGCCATCTGGTGGCATCCCTGTAGAAGGAGGACACGGCAGCCTGACTGGTTCCACCACTGGAGTATATTCTACTCCACTATAACGGTTATAGCCCATGCTACTTAGGATGTGGATTGAATCTGATGAGATCGGCCTGAACTGCTGTATTTACTGACTTCACCATTTAAGATGTGGATTGGAATGAGGCTGATTCCACCTGGATTGCTGTATTTACTACTGATTTGCATCCCCACCTAATTTGCCGCTTTTATAATATGCTTTTCAGCAAAAAAGAACAACTACTAGTACTCGCGTATTGCCCCACCACGGTGGTCTTGTGGCTAAGGTGCTCAACTGCTGACCCACAGGTCGCGGGATTGAATCCCGGCTGCGGCGGCTGCATTTCCGATGGAGGCGGAAATGTTGTAGGCCTGTGTACTCAGATTTGGGTGCACATTAAAAAACCCCAGGTGGTCGAAATCTCCGGAGCCCTCCACTACGGCGTCTCTCATAATCATATGGTGGTTTTGGGACGTTAAACCCCACATATCAAACAGTACTCGCGTATTCTGTGCACTTTGCCTTAACAATGACTAATGACAATGTTGCACGAACAGAGCTGTATTACAAACTTTTTCTTTCTTTTTTCTGATGACCGCATGCATGTTGAGGTTTTATTTCTTTTGGCTGTGATGCTTGAAGTGCAAACAGTCCTCAGATGCCTGCAATGAAAGTATGCCAACGTTTGAATATGTAGTGGCAAGAAGGAATTTGTCTGGTGGCAGCAGCTCCCTCGATTCCACAGATGAATCACAAATGCTGGCATGTTACCTTCGTTCACCCACTTTTCTGTGGACGTGACACTAAAAAATATGCACAAATTTAATAACACAATCTCAAGAAACTGAAATGAGAAATTTAGCTGAAGTTACCATAATGCTACCCTTAAAACACGAACTACCATCAATAAGTGTGTAGCTGAGGACATCTGCTATTACATCACTAATAATAATAATAATAATAATAATAATAATAATAATAATAATTTATATATTTATTTATTTATTTATTTATTTATTTATTTATTTATTTATTTATTTATTTACAGTACCTCAAAGGCCCCAATGAAGGGGTTTTACATGAGGGGTGGGCTATTACAATCGGTTAAAGGAGTAGATGCTCGATCGCTGCTTTGAAGTTGATGATACTGGAGTGGTGCGCAACGTGAGGAGGAAGGCCATTCCAATCTTGTACGGTCTAGACAAAGAAGGATGAAAGGTGCGCAGTGGTGTGAGCTCTTGGCGGGTAAACAGCTTTCCTGTGATTGATGCGGTCTGAATGACGATGGGCTGGCTTGATGGTGGGAGTACAAGGCGATCCATGATAAAACTTGAAAAACAGGCACAGACGAGCTATACAGCGGCGTGACGAAAGGGTAGCGAGGTTAGCATGAGATTTAAGTTCGGTTACGCTTGACTGATATGAATAATCTGAAAAGATGAATCTTGCTGCCCGGCTTTGCGCTGTTTCAAGTGTTTTAGTATTGTTACTCTGATGAGGGTCCCAAACAGCACATGCGTATTCAATTTTTGGTCTGATTAGTGTCTGATAAGCGAGTAGTTTGACAGGGGTAGGAGCTAGATAAAGGTTTCGGCGCAGACAGCCAAGAACACGGTTTGCTTCGTTAGTAATGTGCGTTATGTGAAAGGACCATAATAAATCAGAAGATAATAATAATAATAATAATAATAATAATAATAATAATAATAATAATAATAATAATAATAATAATAAAGGCATGGGATAGCCCAACAAGCCTCTGTTGATGCCAGTTCTAGCCTAACCAGAGGGCCTTCAAGCTGAGTCGAAATCGAGGACACGACAAACATGCACAAATTTACCGACATGAGTAATGTTGTGGTTTGAAAGTCAGACATGCCGTGCGATATGTACAAGTAATATACCAAAATAATGCATGTACCCAGGGAGCTAAGGAATGCATTGGTGAACGTGGAGGACAAGTTGCCGAGCTGAAATTTCCCGTCATCTTCACGCCATGGGTTGCCCCAATTGTGAAAACCAGTACATCGGTGAGACAGGCGATTTCAAAAAATGAGTTAAACATATATATGATGCCACGAAACAAAGTGTGGCCTCGAATGCCCTTGCTGAACATGTGGAACCTACAGACCACCAAATTGACTGGTCAAGTACGTGTGTTCTGGACAAAGAAAAAAAGCTTGCATCATGCCTGCACCTCGAATCCAGAACATATACAAACATATGCTGAACAATAATGACGAGACACTTCAACAATGTACTCTCACTGCTTATGTCATGTACTTAGGCGTACTTAAGTCGATGCGCCTTTCTTATAAGTCGATGCGCCTTTCTTATGGCTTTTATGGCGAACAAGGCTCCCACATAGGCTGTCGAAATGTCAGTAAACTTTGTGTTCTATTGCTTGGTGTATCCTTTCGCACTTACACTAAAAAGTCAGTTATGCACTGCCCTTTTTCTTTTCACATCTCTACAAGCAGTTGCTGCAGCCGAAGCAGCAACTTTTTTAGCTTCGATAAATGGTAACGCTTATTTTTGTGACAGTGGCACAAAACTGCTGTCTATTTCCACGACCTGGCCAGTTTTTTTTTTTTTTTTGGGGGGGGGGGGGGGGGAATTCTTTGACTTTTCCAGAGGGTGCAAATTCTCCGACTTTTCCAGGTCTTACAGCTTGGTAGACACCCTGCCACAGAAGCCATGGCAGCGTTTCAGAGATCGTTTCCACTTCTTTCCTTCATTAATAGCGAGGGTGCAGTCCTGGCAGACTTGAGAGTTAATCAATGTGTCACACCAAGGTTGCAGGTTCAGCCCCTGCCAGCGGCAAGTTAGCACCCAATGCGCCAGTATTCCTCTTTTGGTGGATAACCGAGGTACTCAATACACGTGTGAACTTTGTTGATGCTGCATGTAGCTGATAATGAATAGTGATTGATGAATACTTTGCAGTGGGTGAGAGCATTAAACCACACCCTCATCATGCAATTAGCACTCTGTGATAACAGGTTATTTTACTTTTCTGCCAAGTTGTATGACATAAGTTAACGTGACTCTTTGGCCGACGTTACACATGTCCCTTTTGCAAATGAGTTTCAAGCACCAACATGGCTCTTTAGTGGAATACTCAACTACCATGCAGAGAGCCAGGGTTGAAATCCAATTCGATGTTGGATATTTTTTCCCATAGCACAACCACACACACACAGAGAAATGAAGGTACACAAAATAGCGCTGACTCACAATTGAATTTTTTTTTCGGGAACAGCAATATTAAAAGCACAATCTGAAGGACCCCCAAATTCACTCTGCATCAACAACAACAACAACAACAACAAAATACAAGAAACATTGCACCACATTAAACTCACATGCAATGGTCTAAAAAAATTGGCTGCGGCTTAAGTCAGTTATGGTTGGATGTGCTAGCGAGAGGAACGAATAATCTTGTTTTTCATCTTTGTTCTCTGCATGGTAATGAGTCTTGAAGCGAGACTCATTCTTCCTCCATCTCCTCGTCTCAGCGCCCCATCTTGATTTCGCTCCAATGACAAAGCCTGGCTTCTTCCAGTTTCTTCAACTCATTTTTCATATCGGCCGATGAATCCCACCTAACTAATCCCTCCATCTATCTATCTATAAATATATAAATATATATACATATATGTATATGCGACGCAACGCTGACTACTCCTCTGATATCATGCCAATGGCGTGAGTGCGACTGCCAGCTGCGGCATGTGATAGGCAACGGCCCAGGGTTGGTGGTGTGTGGCCACTGCGAGAATACAGCCAATGGAACTCACGCTAAAAATTTTGTACTCACAATCGTAGAATGTCACAGATGGCTCACTGATTAATGAACTGGATCGTTTTCTTATGTAGTGAGCCTTATTTAACCCTTTTAGGTAACAATCTGGTTCACGAATCCACAAACTACCGTTGACATTGCTTGACTGTGAGAACAAACTGACTGTGAGACCAGTACATGTGACCTCAACGTAAAATGTGTTCGCTTTGTTTTTTTGTTAATACTCAGTGATTTTCACATTCTTTCAGTTTACGCATACGCTAATTGTTTTAATGAGTGTCACTTTTGAAATAAGAATTCAGCTATGAACCAGTGCTCTGTTTTCCGTGTATTTTCTTGCCTCTGTCCGTGTGTGGTTGTGCTTCTGGTGGACCATGAAATACAGAACACGCTTGTCTAGAGCGTTGGAGCGCGTGACAGTGAATGCTATTGTCTGTAGCTGCTACCTCACATTTGCTACAAGCTTGGCACAACATCCTAACAAGCAGTGTGGCTATGTAAGGTACCATTACGGCGCCAGTCTTTGAACATTTCTGCAGCGACCAGGTGGGAGTTCTTGGCAAGCCATAACTAATACACCCCAAGACCGCGGTGAACAACGGAGCACAAGCGGGGATGGCCCACCTGGCAGAAGTGTTTGTGGCGCCGGTGCGCTCGGTCGTGCCTGGCCAAACCGAGCGCGCTTCGAAAGGTGCGCAGACAGCGGGAACACTTGTGCGTGCTTGGCTCCTTGTGGGTGTCCAAGTGCCGCTCCAACATGGCTCCTTCGAGGAACGATTTCCCGCATACATCGCACGGGACGCGATTCAGCATGAAGTGTTGAGCCCGGTGTTGGTAGAGGTAGGACTTCTTGTTGAACCCCTTGCCGCACTCTAGGCAGTGCAGGCCTTTCGCCTCGTCGATAGACTGCAGCACCCGCGGGTGACAGTCGCGCAGATGTTTGGTGTAGTCCGCGTATCTGTCGTACTGAGACTCGCACGCGAGGCAGTGAGTCTTCAGGTTTGGATGTGCCGCCGCGAGGTGTTCCAGGTGCGAGCACTTGTCGGGTGCGTCGGCGAAGCAGATCACACAGGTGAAGCAGGACGGACTCATTCGAGCGTCTTCGCTGTTTGTGTTCCCCACATAGTCGGGGTCGTCGGACGTATCTGTATCGCCATCGAGCGGTGCAGGATTCAAGAGAGCGGTATAGTCTTTACGAGGCAAGCGTAGCTTTCGTACAGCACTATCTGTGCAAGGACCTTGATTGTCACCCGACACTGCTTCAGACATCTTGGGAAACGGCTACAAGTGCAGTTAAACACAAACGCATCGAAACGACACCAATGTGCGGACCAGTGAAACTTTCCTCACAATGCGGTGGTTACTTTTGAGAACGCTCGCTACCACGTTGTTGTCACGACTTGCAAAAATGCTGCCAGAGTGTCTAGACGAAAGGCACTTTCTACCTTTGTCCCGTTTTAACGTCATTATTCACAAAGTCTAATTTTCCATCGTGGCTTTGCCGGTGACAACAAAGTGCAACTGTGGGTCGCTGTATTTCTGCGATGGCGATACGGTTTGTGATATGCATAGAGTTTCATACAAAAATGAATCTCTATGGTGACATGGTTTCGTCCACCGATGTGCCGAAATTGCATCGGTGGGCAAGAAAAGCTTTATAAAATAGCCCGCTGATTTTTAAAACTTTGTTTTCAGCTATTTGGTAAAATATTTTTTTTAATGTTGTTTTGAGTTACATGAAAACTGTAACAAATTTTCTTGAATTTTCCGCACGTTCCTTTTGTTTGGAAGGCTGATAGGCTTTCATTACTCTAAACAAAAAAAATTGAAAATGTGCTCTCAGTTTCGACGTTAGGAGCTGGTAAATAAGAGAACCCAAAGGTTTTTTTTTTTTTTTTTTTTTTTTGCCGGGGGGGGGGGGGGGGGGGTTTACAAAGCTTGTGATCTTAAAACGCAGGTGACCCGACCTTTTGGATCGCGTCGCCTGCGCTTCACGCGCGGAGTAGCCTGAATAACAACAAAAAAGAGGACGGAAAAAAGAAAAGGAGAACAATTAAAACAACCTAAAGTACACTCCCACACTTTGTGATGTCGATGCGGGCTACTGGTTAATGGTAGCTAGTGGGTAGGCGTGTAGTCAGGCGGTAATAACGTGGGAAACATTTGTGCGAACAGAGGGTTTTAGGGTTCTGTAATTAGGGACATAGGCGTGCTCAGGGTTCCCCTTCAGGGGGGAGGGGGGGAGAGGGGCGAAGGCAGCGCTTAGGGCTGACCTTGCCCCCTTGCTTATTACTCAATGTAAGTGATATGTAGGGTTTAGCATCCCAAAACCTTATGAGAGACGCCGTAGTGGAGGGCTCCGGAAATTTGGACCACCTGTGGTACTTTAACGTGCACCCAAATCAGAGCACACGGGCCTACAACATTTCTGCCTCCATCGGAAATGCAGCTGGGATTCGATCCCACGACCTGCGGGTCAGCAGCGGAGTACCTTAGCCACTAGACCACCGCGGCGGGGCAATATTACTCAATGTAGAGGGCGGACTTAGCGCCCCCCTATACTAGGAGATATGAATGCGCACATAGAAGATATAGATGGGTATACTGACCCAACAGGCAAAATGATCATGGATGTGTGTGAACGGCATGATCTATTCATTTGCAACAGCTAGTACTGAGAAGTGTGAACAACAAATAAAATGGGAGGTGGGAAGGCTGCAGTCAATGATAGATTATGCACTGATGTCACATAGGATGTTTGATAGGCCCAGGGGAATGCACATTTATGAATGTGGCTCCAGTAGTCTGGGTAGTGATCACAAACGTATCAAGCTAGGATTTGGAAGAGCAATGAAAGTGGGAAAGAGACAATTAAGATGAGCAAATACAGGGGAATTTTCATTCAGAAAGGCAAATAGAAATAGCTACTAAACAAACTGAGAAAGTAATCGCTAAGGATAATAAAACAGTGTGGACATACATGAATCTAATTAGACTGTTTGAGCTAGAGCTTTCCAAGGCACGTGACAAGTCACCCCGGAAAAGGAGACACAAAACCAAGAGTTGGTGGGATGAGGAAGTTAAAAGAGCCATAGCAAAACATCAGGAAGCCTCTAAGGAACACAGACGTGCTAAGCAGCGGGGTGAACCAACCGATGATGTTGAAAGATAATGAAACATCTTTTTAAGCTGTAGAAGAGAACCATACCCTCTGATCAATGAAAAAATTAGAAAAAAAGGGGCTTAGTGGCTGACAGAAGCGCACAAAAAAGATCGAAAGGCAGCTGCAAAATTTTGGAACCATCTAAACTCCCTAAGAAATGAGACAATCCTAGAGCATAGGTTTATAACTACAGCTCGAGATGTTTGGCTAGAAGGGGACTAAGCTATTGAATATATAAGAACAACAGTGACAGAAAAATTTCAACAAAAAAGTGCCCTATGCACCTTAATAGACAAGGATGGATCAAGTGGCACGGTGACTTCATTTTCACAACGAGAGTGGGTAAGGACTAAGAAGAGGGTACCCAGTAGTACATCAGCAGGCCCAGATAGCATTCCAATTATGCTGATAGACATTGGATTCGAAGTCTAAGCAGGCTTTGGGAGAGGCAGCGAGCAAAACAATAATCGATGATGAACTCCCAGAGGGATGGAAACTTAGCAGGATGAGCATGATTTATAAAGGAAAGGAGGACAAAGCTGACATAAACAGCTACCGTTCTATAACAGTGATATCAGTGGTCTACAGGCTGGCAATGCAGATTATAAAGGAAAGACAGCAGGCATGGATAGAGGATGAGGGGGGGGGGGGACTGCAGAATGGGTTTCGGAAACACAGGAGGTTGGAAGACAATCTGTTCTCACTGACACAGTGCATCGAAATAGCAGAAAAGAAACACAGGCCCCTGTGACTAGCATTTTTGGATATCATGGGAGTGTACGATAGCGTGGTTCAAGAGGAATTGCGAGGAATACTGGACACACTAGGCGTGGAAAATATGGAGTCACTAATCTTTAAAAGGATATCTATAAAGGTAACAAAATAGTTATATAAAGTGGGAAAAACAGGTATCCAAGCCTGCAGAGGTAAAACGGGGGCTTAGACAGGGGTGTCCTCTGGCATCCTTATTATTCATGATGTACCTACAAAAATTAGAGACCAAATTAGAGGGAAGTGGAATGGGCTTCAACCTCTCTTTCGTCAAACGAGGAACACTCATTGAACAGGCACAACCACCATTGATGTAGCAGATGATATAGTGCTAATGGCCGACAACAAGGATGATTCGCAGAGATTGATGGACATCTGCGGTAATAATGGAGATAGGTTAGATTTCAGATTCAGTAAGAAAAAATCAAGTCATGATTTTTAATGATAATGAAGGTAGTGAGCTTAGAATACACGAGGTCATGCTAGAGATAACAGATAAATACAAATATCTCGGCGTATGAATAAGCAATGGGACCAAGTACCTAAGGGAACACGAAATATACGTAATGACTAAAGGTAACAGGAATGCAGCAGTGATGAAACATAGGGCACTGTGGAATTACAATAGGTATGATGTGACAGGAATATGGAAAGGGGTCATGGTTCCTGGTCTGACTTTCGGCAATGCGGTCTTGTGCCTGAGATCAGAGGTTCAAGCAAGATTAGAAATTAAGCAACGTGGAATAGGTAGGCTTGCTTTAGGAGCTCACGGGAATACACCAAATCAGGGAGTACAAAGTGATATCAGATATCGTTCGAAGGCAGGGAAGCTAGCAGCAAGATTAAATTTGAGAAGCGATTGAGAGAAATGGGGGAGGAACGTTGGGCTAGGAAGGTTTTCAGCTACTTGTACATGAGGAATGTCGATACAAAATGGATGAAACTAACCAAAAATTGACGGGTAAATACTTAAAACAACAGGGGGCCAATCCAAAAAGAACTATCAGTTAAGAAGAAGGTGAAGGAAACGGAGACTGACATGTGGAGAATTTGTATGATTAAGATGTCCGCACTAGAAATCTATCGTACTTTTAAGCAGGAAATTGTCAAGAAAAGGATCTATGATAATACTCGCGGTAGTTTTTTACTGTTTGAGGCCAGGACGGGAGTATTGCGAACCAAGACATATCGGGCCAAATACGAAGGGGTAGACACAGTATGCAGTGCGTGTGGAGAGGAAGAAGAAACTGCGGAACACTTGATAATGTTCTGTAAAGGGCTTCACCCTATAGCTCAGGATGATGGCGCAGAGTTTTCCAAAGCACTGGTGTTTAGGGACAGCAAGGGCAAAATAGACTTCAAGCGGGTAAAAATAACTAGGAGGTTTTCTTATTGGTGGCTAAAATCAAGGCACGAGTGAAAATTAAACCCTTCACTGCACAGTACCAATACTCAATTTCACTATTTAAAGGAAAAGAAAGATAAATCTAGTTGTTGGTTCACTAAGTATTACAGCTAGGTGGCATTAGCCGCCGCCCAATCTAAAGGGTACAGCTATATAAATCCACCCATCCATCTATTCATCCATCCATCTTAGGTGTATGAGCAGTGTGACAGTTTGGGCTAGTTGGTATATGACTATTGTCAGAATATATTAGCATATGATGCATAAGCAGCATCGAGAAACGCCAGCGCAGACCATACAGTTGAGTTTTCCAATGTGACCGCAGGCTGAGAACACAGCCTGGTGCACAAAAAAAAAAAATGCAGTTATGAGACAGGGTTGTTCAAAATGGAACGCGATGCGCGCGTCTCCCACCCTGTACGAGGGGATGGATTTTAGGCCTGGCTGGCCGTGTCGTGTGCGCATCTTTTTGCGTTCACTTTACGGCCATAGGGAGTTTTTGAATGGCCCCAGTGATATAGCGCCAAGGCATCTGCGAATGCGCAAGACCTAAATTGCATTTAGGTTTTGAGTTGGGGACGCTATTTCTCGAATTTTGCGGGAGCACTAAAGCCTGCCCCAAAATTTTTGGGTCAGACAAACGTGACGGCACCCACTGAATTCGAGAATTAGCGTCCCCAACCCAAACGCTGTTTGGGTTTTGTGCATGCGCAACGGGCTTGACACTACTTCTTTGGGGTGTATTCGCTCCTGCTTGACCCAAAGTCCTTTGCGTATGGACGCTTTGGGTGAAGCAGGAGCGATGACTTTTCGAAAAAGGTCTGCGGTGATTTGGACACTCTCCCTATTCTATGCCACTCTCTAGTCTTGGCCAAGAGCCGTCACTTCAGTGGGTGCCGTTATCATTGTCTGACCCAAAACTTTTGGGGGCAGGCTTTGGGGCCCCGTTAAATACGAGAAATAGCGTCCCCAACCCAAAACCCAAACACGCGGTTTGGGTTTTGCGCATGCGCAGTGGCTTTGACGCTATTTCTTTGGGGCCTGAAAGTTTTGAGGCCCCTATTCGAAAACTCCCTATTGTCCGAGAATTGGGGTCGAATCAGCACGAGCGACACAGCTCCCTCCGTCTTTCTATATGCAGTGATGAATGTCATGCCGAATTGAATGAAAGCTCTAAAAACAGAAATTCTCACACACACAAGTCGGTAAAACCGCAATTTACTTTGTTGTATTGAAAATTTGTTAGATTATAATTCTACCTTTTCAGTAACACATAGTTACCAAGCAATTTATTTCTCAGCACCACCCGATGTGCTGCAAGACTGTTGGAATAATAGGAAGTTTACGAATAGGGGCCCCAAAAGTTTGGAGCCCTAAATAAATAGCGTCAAGGCCACTGCGCATGCGCAAAACCCAAACTGAATTTCGGCTTCGGGTTGGGGACGCTATTTTTCAAATTTAGCGGGAGCCCCAAAGCCAGCCTGAAAAGCTTTGTGCCAGACAAACATGATGACACCCTCTGGAGTGGCATGATCAAGAATTGGACAAGTATCTAAAGCACCACAGACCATATTCGAAAACTCTTCACTCCTGCTTGACCCAAAGCATGCATACGCAAAGGGCTTTGGGACCCCTGTTAAAAAACTTCCTAGTACGGCAGTACCAAGAGCCATTTTCAATGACAAAAGTAAATATGAATTTTCCCGATTCCACCATCCAATGAGCGCAGCTTCATGCCCCACCAGAAAAGATGTCCTCTTTAAGTGGCCCAACAAGATGCACGAACCCAAAAGAAATGCAAGTCCTATGACCTGTGCTACTACAAGATAAGCATTTACAAAAACTGCATGCAACTGGCCCTGCAATGCTTTTTAGTTTACATTCTGCGGCGTTGGATTTTGTGTAGGGCCATACTCAGATGAATGCAAAAGTAATTATCAAGGTCAGTACACAGTAGCAAAAGTTATTAGCTCTCAAACTTCAAAACCACAGCAGATGATGAAAAAAATGCTCCCTTTTTGCATTTCACTCTCTAACTGATGTCAAAGGCCTTTTCCAATCGCCCCATGCCTCTCACAAAGACACACCAGATGACTCGCCTTCTAGAAGTCGTCGTGGAGCACTCGTAGCATCATTTTGCAATTGTTTTTACATTTTTATATTCAAAAAGAGAAATCCTTTTCTATCTGAGGAAGTATAAGGACGACTTTCATAATTTTTAGCGCACAATAGTGTGACCCATCCGAGACCATACAAATATTTCGCACGACTTGTCGGTGTCGAAACAATTTAAATGCATGGCCTATGTTGTCACTCCCACATGCTGGATCGTCACTTTCAATCACAAAATGGACCCTCTTGGTCACTCTAATTAAAAAACAATGTGGTTTCTTTGTAGAAATAAATTATAACGACTTTGTCTTTAGCGTTGCCACTCGCGCAGTGATACTGGTGAATTTTACAGTTTGAGAAAAAGCGATAAAAACGATACACTCAATTTGTGTGGCCCTTTTAAGCATATGACCACCAGCCCCATAAGAAGATCCAGTTTATTGCGTCTGCTCTCGCGACAGTACCAATGCTTCGTTCTATTGAAATTACAGATAAACAGGAGGCACGAAATACATGTTGTTCCGTCGACATGAAGATGAGAAAAGTGAAATACTTCATTACATTGATGGATGTTTAAAAGTACAGTATATCCCCTTCGGCAATGAATTATGATGCACTGCCTATTAATGCATCAAATTCACATACCATAATCTTCACATTGATTGTGAAACGCAGCATGTCGAACGACCTGTCAAAAACCGTAGTTTCTTCGACAAAGTGGGTAGCTACAGTCATGTGCAGCACATCGTCATGGTAGACTGTATATGCAGAAGGTTAAATTCATCCTATCAACAATGCATCGCGCTCTCCTTTGGCCACAGCTTGACATAACTAGTTGTGTACACAAACTTAGTGACTGCCACTGAAGGGGATGTATTATCGTCAGTGGTCGCGACGTTAGTTGGCAGTGTTTAGGACAAAACTCTATCCGGCACGAATTATGTAAGGGTACATATAAGGAGCAATTCAAGCTGTACACTGATTGCAGCAAAAACAGCATCAGCCGTTGAATGTTCTGACAAGCGGTTAAGCGGGTCAGCACATACATTACCACTGAAGATTCCAGCATTATAGCTGGTGGCAGTCAGAGTTCCAGAATAAATTCTATTGTTTATAATGTAGGTATGTAATATTATAGGAACATTCTAAAATAGTTTAGAAGTTTCCCAGTCATTCAAACGTGGCTTGTGCCTGAAAGGCAGCAGTTGCACGTTTAATGGGCCGGTAACATGAAAATGGAAAGAATGGAGTATGTGTGGCAATAAACACACACAAACACTGTATAGATGGTGGGATATACATATGAGTAAACACAACAGAAGGGTTGCCTTCCCTCCATCAGGAAATCCACCAACGAAGGGGGACCCTTCCTAATGCTGTGGGAAAATAAATATATATTTCACATTTGAGGACAACACCTCCATTCTGTTAACCCATTACCCGAAGAGAACTTGCTCGTTGACTAGTAACTCTACATTGATAGACGCATACAATGCACACAATGCTTGTAATTACATCACAGGCATTATGCAAGCCAAAGAAACTTTTATTCAGCTCAATCTGTTCCCGTTTTCAATCAATAGTGAGTAGACAGGTAGAAATTATACAGGTAAGATGCTGAAATCTCTGCATGCTTGATGCCCCTGCATCACATTCTTTTTTTGTGATGACACCCTATTAAATATATGGTCTACAAAACAAATTAATTAACTGCTCGCCACTGGCATCAGTACATATTCATGTTCTCTCGCTTGAAAAAATAACCATAATGTTCACTTTTGACTTCCACCCTTAAGCAGTAGGAGTGCGCCTTTTGAAGACTTAGTATTTGAAAATTGAATCAAGCAAAAGTCAAAACTTAATGCAGTGAATTCTTCAACCTTTCAAAGTAAACCTGCCAATGTTTTCCCCTAATATCAGTGTGAAATGCATGCCTGCAGTGAAGACAGCAACAGCATTTTTCGCAGTGGCTGGATAGCGTGCATGAGTAGAGTTGTGATGCAGTCTACTGACTACTTAAGCTCTGCACTATTCATAATTCTCATTTCTTACAAATACTGTGAAATAGATTGCTCTCACACATACAGCAAGTTCTTCCACTATTTGTAATTTATCTTAATTAAATGAAGTGCGGTATATATATCCCTTTCAAGTGCAAATTGTAATGGACTGTCTAAAAATATGTCAAATTAGCACATAATTACGTGGCAGTATTACATCTCCGAAGAAAATGAGGCAATCATTGTTTTGCATGACTTCATGCAATCAATATTAAAGCGAGATGCTACTCGAAGACACTTTTTCTTTAATATTCACGCTAGAGCGATGAAACGCTAGAGCGATGTTGGCGCCATAATGGTGCGCCAACATCTCCTTATATATCATATCAAAAAAAAAAAAAAAAAAAAACTTAAGATGTTTATGGAACTTTCTATGCTGATTTCAAATATATAATCAGTTTTCTTGCAAGTTGCACACGTTTAGCTCTGCAACATGACAAAGTGAAAATCTTAACCCTTTTGCCCCCGCTCTTTTCATCCCTAAAATTCTGTAATTTTTTACCATTCATAGTTCATAATGCTTCAAATAAAGTTTAGAGTGCAAATAACTAATTAAGAAGCACATACAAAATATGTAATACACGTGAAAAATAATAGACGTAAAAAGTCCATATTTCACCTACCCTAGAAAAGGTATACATACAATTTTTTTTATTATACAATAAAATATTGAAATTTTAACTAGATATTTGCATTTCTCACACTTCAGAAAAAAATTGGGCAAAATTTCATACAGATACGAGCAATAGAAGTGCCCGAAAAAGGAGGGGCACATTGGAAAAAATGGCAAAATTTGTGTTTTGAGAAAAATGAGTTTTAAAGTTAAAATTGAGTTTTTATTTATGAAAGATAATATTAAATCAGATGAAGTTTGCACACCAAAAAGAACAATCCTTCTTGTAGAGGCCACTGTGACTAAAGTACGCCAGCACTATGAGTTTGCCCCCCTCGGCGTTTTCGAGCTGAGTCCTCACAGACATTTCGCTCACAGACAGGACCTAGAAACGCTTGCCAAACTTTCGCTCGATCTGGCAGAGCCTTGTGCCAACTTAAAGCAAGGAAGAAGTTCGACAGGACTGCGAAATCCAAACTAAGTCGAGTGTCATGCTATTTTGCAGCCATGTTTGTGCCACATACTGTTGTACATAATGGCAATGTCGTCCCTGCTAAGTTCTCTCACTGCGAGCTCTTTCGACCTCTCAAGATTGGCGCTGACGTCATCCATTGCCGCATCACGAACTTTCCGGCTGACGGGTGTGAATGACTTTGATGTATTGGCTTTTGCAAGCCAACAACTGACGCAAATCGGACCAGCTGCTCGTAGCCTATTCCTACAGAGCGCGCCGCACAACGGCTTTCACTTGCGAGCAATGTCTTTTTTCATTCATAACGGAGATAATTACATGAGAAAAGCATTGTTCAGCTGCGCTTCTCGACAAGACATGGACCCCGCAAATAGGTTTCACAGCATATACAGGCGCGCAGCGGCCAATGGCCGTCAACGATTCGTACCATGAGATAAGCCAGTCGCGGCGCTCTAAAAACGCGCGAAAGAGTGGTTCTTTTTATTATTACTTGCGCTGCATCAGCGAGAGAAACTGCTGGTATTTGAAGAGTGAGGCACGACTCTTCGGCTCATGCGATCAACAATGGCTAGCGGCGGCGCATTATCGGCGGCAAGGTGCTCGAAGACTGCACACTTTCGACCTTTTTACAGGCACCTTGTGCTTTTTAGATGAAATTTTAAAGCACTTCCAGTTAAGTCTCGACCTCTATTATTTTTTTTCATAACAGTAGAGGTACTAATCTTGTCAAAACAGACGAAAATAAAAAATAGTTAATTTTGAAAAAAACTCGTGTTTTTCAACCCGCATCTCCCCTTAAACTAGCATTTAGTTAAATATATAATTATTTGACAATCAGTCAGCTTACATCTTTGCATCAAATGAATTGAATATTAGGCTCGAAATACGTGTCCAGACGAGCCTGCATAGTTCTGTATATGGCAGCTCAACCTGATCTTCCTGCAATACAAGGTTTCAGTAAACATACACACAGCAATACGCAGCACAATGACACGCAGCAATGCACATCCCATACAAATGTGCATGCTGCATTTCGAGCCATTTGAAGAAACAAAGAGAGCTCCATAGCTGATGTGTACAATTTTACACACTGCGCGGCAGAGAATATGCAAATGAAAGGGCTCTACAACTGGCTGCTTTATTTGCACAAACCTAAGTAAAACAGGCAAATTCATGTAAATGGCAACTTCAGTCTGATCTTTTTGCGATACAAAAGTACAGCAAACATACACACTGCATAAATATACACAATTAGCGTGACCACGCACACAGTATCACTGGCACTCCTTGGATGAAAGAAAACGTTGACTAGTCCAGTAAGAATATTTGCGAGGAGAAACACAGCCATCCCATTGTAGTTGATGCTTTTCCAGAGTAGGTCAACATCATTATCGTCGGGGTTGGCTACATCGAAAAAATTGTAGTCGACGTGTGCGTTGGAAGGTAGCAATGCCACCCGAAAGAATGTCACCAAGATACTCATGACCAACGCGAATGTTCCAAGCGAGTACTGTGGAAGAAAAAAAGCGGAAAGTAATTAATAATCCACACCAACGTACATGTATACCTGCAACATAAACTGTGTTTACAAATGGCCCATAATTACCAGATTTTTCGCTTCAAGTTTTTTTTGTCTGCATTCTGCAGCACTGAAGTGAGTACACTGCTGAATAATGAGATATATACATAAAAATAATTATTAAAAACATAACAGAAGTTATGAGCCTTCAAGCTTAATAATATTTGATGGGGTTTAAGAACACAAAAACACCATATGATTACGAAAGACGCTGTAGTGGAGGGATCCGAAAATTTCGACCACCTAAGGTTCTTTAACGTGCACCTAAATTAAAAAACACAAGCCTCAAGCATTTTCGCCTCCATCGAAAATGCGGCCGCTGTGGCCGGGATTCGATCTTGCGACCTGCGAGTCAGCAGCCGAGTGCCTTAGCTACTAGACCACCGGGGCAGAGTAGCCTTCAAGCTTCAAAATTTCAACAGATGATGACAGAAAACGTTCGCTTTCACATTGAACTCGCCCACAGACATCAAAGGCCAGTTCGTATCACCACGCGTCTCTTAAAGAGGTACTGGTGGACTCGTTTCATGGTGGCTTTGTGTAGTGCTCCAAGCATTGTTTTAAAACTGTCTTTAAATTTTTGTATTTAAAACGAATCCTTTTGCATCCAAAGAAGTATAAGGAATGCTTTTATAATTTTAATGCACAATTGCATAACCTATCTGAGACCGTATGAATATTACATACGATGTAGCATAAAACCAATCAAAACAACCGGCCAATGTCGTCACTCCTATGTGATGCAGCGTCACTTTCAACAACGTAAATAGCCATTGTGCAGTGCTCTAGTCCATGAACAGACTTCTCCGCCAAAATACTATTATAACCGCTTTGTTTCTCACATTGCCACTCACACAATGATATAAGTGCATTTTACAGTTTAATGGAGCACTGACATCAAATTAAATCATGCCAAGATATTTGCTCCAACGAATAGCTATCGACCTCGTAGTTGCGATTTGCGACCTAAAACGCAACTAAGGGACGAATAACTATCATTAGGGGAAATGAAAAAAAGGCGATAGAATTAATCCATGATAACAGCCGTGTACCAAAAGAAGAGTGTTGTGTCATTTTAAGCTCTGTGTTTTCATCGTGCTTTGTTAAACCTACAGCGCTTTCCTTTCCCGATACCCCCACCCACAACTTTGTTGCCATGGAACCCCTTTTATTTGACTGTGTCGGCATACAAAAATTGATAGAAAACTTGAAATTAGCCAGTGCTCCAGGTGAAGACGGTATCTGTGCAAAGTTTTTGCATAATACCTCTGTTTACTCATCTGTCATTTTATGTAAGCTTTTCACACAGTCTTTGGAATGTCATTGCCTCCCGGGCGACTGGAAAGCGGGAAAGGTGGTTCCTCTTCACAAATCAGGTGACGTTCATAACCCCCGCAATTACAGGCCCATATCGTTAACAAGTATACCGTGTAAGCTCATGGAACACGTCATCTACTCCCACATAATCACTTTCTTAGAAAACAACTCGTTCCTTAGTGATAACCAGCATGGATTCCGGAAACAGTACTCATGCGAGACCCAACTTCTCTGCCTTACTAATGACCTTTTTCTTGCCATTGACGCTTCTTCCCTTGTTGACTGTATTTTTCTCGACTTCGCTAAAGCTTTTGACACTGTATGCCATAAACTTCTACTGCTAAAACTAAGCAAACTTAATCTTGATGCTAACATATTAAAATGGATTGAATGCTTTTTAATAGACCGCTCCCAATTTGTAACTGCGAATGAATGCAACTCTCCCCTCTCACCCGTAACCTCTGGCGTCCCCCAAGGATCCGTTCTTGGCCCACTACTCTTCCTGATTTACATTAACGATTTGCCACATAACATCTCTTCTTCTATTAAACTTTTCACCGATGACTGTGTTATTTACCGAGAAATTAAAACCCCTTCTGACCACCTTGCCCTTCAGTGTGACTTAGACAATGTTTCATCTTGGTGCGATACTTGGCTAATGAAGCTTAATGTTACTAAATGCAAAGTAATGAGAGTCTCACGTCGAACATGTAATATTTCTACTAACTATGTACTTAATAATTCTCTCCTTACTAAAGTTAGCTCATACAAGTACCTTGGCATTACAATTTCTGACAACCTTTCCTGGCAGTCTCACATTGACATTATTAAAAACAATGCTAACCGCACACTTGGTTATTTACGCCGTAACTTCTCCCTTGCCCCGATGCAACTGAAACTTCTGCTCTATAAAACATTAGTCCGACCAAAGCTAGAATATTCATCATCTGTATGGGATCCCCACGTAAACATCCATATCAGTAGCATCGAAGCAATTCAAAATCGCGCCGCTCGTTTCATTTTGTCGAACTATTCCCGTACAGCAAGCGTAACCCATATGAAGTCAACCTTAAATCTACCCAGCCTATCATTTCGCCGCAAAATCTCGCGCTTGTGCCTCTTCCACAAGTTGTACCATACCATGCACTCACTGAGTAACTCACTTTTTTTGCCGCCATCCTACATTTCATCCCGCAGCGATCACCACTTCAAAGTTGGAATTCCAAGCAGCCGTACAAACCTCCATTTTAATTCATTCGTGCCCAAAACAAGCACGGACTGGAATCACCTTCCCGCTTCCATTGCATCCATCACTGACCCGACCAACTTCAAGAATACCATAAACGCATACCCTTTTTAAACATGCTCCATTTGTTTGTACAGTTTGTTTGTTTGTTTTTCACCACTCCTCTCTGTAACGCCTTGTGCATTGAGAGAAAATAAATGAAATGAAATGAAATGAAATTTTTATTGATTTATATCACTGGTTTATAGCACGATTCAAAACGATCGGCAATCCCGCCATTTTTAGCGCTGGGAGCGCTACCAGTGGTGCTACTTCATGGTCACCTTCAGATCACACCACAGCTCACCACTTTTCAACAGAAAAAAGTGACATGAGGCACTTTTTTCGTCTGCTAGGTGCACACATTCAGTCATGCCTTGTCACCTGCATTGCCGTTGTCACCGTAAAAAGTGTCGACTCAGGTTGAATACGATAGAGTAGATCTTAAAATCCCCGCTATTCGTAACGTCGCAAATCATTTTTGCTTCGACGTACCCTTTACAGAAGAGCGATTACAGAATGAATGCCATTCCAAGCAGCATTGAGGAGGTGCTCGAGAATGCATGCTTCGGCCATGCTCGCTTGTGTGTCTCAGTCGGCTATATTTGTGTGTTTTGGCATCCACAGTCCTCAGGTATACGCAATTGGGTCAATGAAATATCTGGAATGGGGATCAGCATAGAAATAGAGTACGTTCCCTGCTTGCCAGGTTCTTCTTTGCACCTCCAGATAGCCCCACTTATCCAGCCCCTTACGGTTGCGGCGGCTGTAACCCAGTATTACGCGGACGCAATGTCTATAGGCGAACTAAAGTTCACTAATAACGATACCTGTGTGTTGCTTGTTAGCGATGATATCTGTCTATACGCTACTCCACTTCAATAGCTTTTAGTCGTGTTGGCGTGTAACATATATGTAATAAAAAGACACCCTCATTGCGCTTTTTCCGTGCCTCGAACCAGACAACTGCCACTCCCAATAGTTCCCCGACGTCCTGACTGACGACACACTTTGAATCATGCTCTTTTCTTTGGCCGATCTTCAATGGGTGGTTTGCACCTTGATAATTTCACGAAATTATTCAAAGCGGTGCGACGAAGATCAGACGTGACGAGTGAGTGCGTTTCTAGGATTCGGCATCAGTCGGCGCCACAATAAGAACACTTGGATCGTAGACATTATCGCTACTAGCGCATCGTCACTCAGGATGGCATGTGTGGAATGTATACCACTGAACACAAAGAACTAGTGTCGATGTCGCAGGGCACTCCATTTTTCATTAAACTGTCGTACGTTGTTTGCCATCGAAATAAAAAAACTTTCACATGACGGACGCGATTGAAATCTGACCAAGACGACCTATGCACACCGGGCAATTGAAGGAAGGGCACATCTCTATTCTAAGTTTGATGATTGATTGATTGATTTGTGGGGTTTAACGTCCCAAAACCACCATATGATTATGAGAGACGCCGTAGTGGAGGGCTCCAGAAATTTCGACCACCTGGGGTTCTTCAACGTGCACCCAAATCTGAGTACACGGGCCCACAACATTTCCGCCTCCATCGTAAATGCAGCCACCACAGCCGGGATTTGATCCCGCGACCTGCGGGTCAGCAGCCGAGTACCTTAGCCACTAGACCACCGTGGCGGGGCTGAAGTTTGATGTCAGTGCTCCTTTAAAAAGTAGCGATGAAAGCAACACACCTAATTATTGTGTTGCAGAGTCTCTGTAATGACTAAGTGAAATAAAGTGTCTACTGGCTGAGCTGGTATAGATTCATGTTGAGATTTGGCACGTATAAATGCGCACACGAAAAAGAAGACACAAGACAGGCGCTGATTGAAAATTGAAGTTTACTGAAGAGAAACCTGCTTCTCACAGCTGGCAATAACATCGCAACAAGTGAACTAAGATATTGTTACGGGGTCGTGACGTGGCCAAAGACAGAAAACTTCGTGTTGGGATTTAACTGTTTATTTGGGCGAACCTGTGCCCGGTAAAGGGAAAGTCTAATTACAGCAGCAGTCTTGCACAGATAGCAGTCTCGGACTGATAGCGGCGAACGCAGCGTCGGCCTTCGATCAACAACTGACAAGCGGCGAAGCGCGTCGGCATTTATACCCTTGCTGTCGAATGTTCTAGCGATATCGCTGGCGGTGGCGTAGGTTCCAGAACAATCCATACCGTTCGCACAGTGGGCGTGACCTTATCGAATCAATCTACTACAGTCTGGAACCTTCTCGAAACCTGCAGGCGTGGTTTGCGCCGAGAATCGTGTGGTGTTTCGGAACGATATCAAAAACTTGTGAAATGGAACGTGGCATT